TCTCAAAGTAACTGGTTATTATCACCTCAATATTTTTCTTATTATGACAATTACATGCTCCAGGAGCGAATTAGGCGATAAAGGACGCCAAGTGGGAGTGGTTGACAGCTATTTGGAGACTCGATGCACAGAGCAATTTGCAGCCCCGAGCCTAACAAATTGGATTTGGGCCACTTTGGATGGGGGCCCTCAGATTGTTGGGTGTTTGGATCCTGAGATCTACAGTGAGCTGGTTATTTGGCTTCATTTCTTCATACATGACTGTGTAGCAGACTGTTTTTCAGGTAACAATGATTTGTGGTCACTTAACAGTAACTGAGGATGTGTTTATGCAACATAACAAATGTTTGTAGGGTATTTGCAGTTTAAAGCCTATGGGCGTTAAGCATCTCTGCATGTTAAATAGTGCAGCTACTTTTTTTTTGGTCTTAAGCCACACAGCTGTGCTCAAGTGTGTGTATAATCCAAATGAGCCTAACAGCCTCTAAACGAATTACTGGTACACATTTTACCACCCTAAACTGCCACAGGAAAAGCTGGCAACAGCGCCCAATTAGGTGAAATGCAATTATTCCGAACCATTCACACAATTAGCCTGTAGGTTAACAACCTAGGCGTACATCGGGCTGGCACCCAGTGTTTTGGAAAAGCCACGGTTTCACCGACTCTCGGGGTAACCCCTCCGTGTCAAATACCATGCCCCCAAAGCGGTCGGTGGGTTTAAAAAAGAAAAAGGAAACACAACATTCAGTTTTATTGGCGGAGGGAGTACGTGACATCAGTCAACTCGGAGCAATGGGTGACTTGATTGGTTGAGGCAAAGAGTGGTACTGTGGGTTGAGGAGGAGAGAGGAAGGGAGTGCTCAGCGGAGCGAAGGTACATAATGCCAGGCGACAGACTGGCAGGCTGGCAGAGCGGGTGGGCACTCACAGCAGCATGATGGAAAACAAAAGCCTTATGTGTCACAATCGAGATCGCATTAACCAAAACAAGCAGGCGTAGACAGGCTGCCACACTGACTGGGTTGTCTGTTCCACCAACTAAGCCAGGCACAATGATGGGAGAGACACTGGGGGACGCCTGTCTCCTGATTTATTGTGAAAAGTGCAAAGACACCAAACTGATTTAATATCAGAGCTGTCAGAGATTTGGCTGATATAGGCTCAGAATAAATTCCTAAAATGGATATTTTTCATACTGTCCAAAACTACAAAGTTTATTGAAAAGAAAATGTGTAGTTGAGCCTCATTTAAAGCAGTAGTTCCCAAAGTTGTGGGTCATGAAACATCAAGTAAGGGTACCCAGACGATTTCCAGACATCAAATGCAAACAAACTCTTAATGGAACATTTTTACCAGAATTGTTGCAAACAATAAAACCAAACAATAACTAGATACTGCAAAGGGGTAGTATACATGACCCCAGCATGTATGCAAACCACCAGAAGTCACCAGAATGGATTTACTGTTTTGGGTGGGAGTCCAGAGTGTGCTCATTGGTGGGCTAGATGGATAGCCCTTCATCATAGCTAAGAAAAACTAAACAAATAAAAATCCTGAAGCTCCTTTTGTTGAATAGTTTTTGAGTTATTAGCATTTTTGTATGTCCAGACACACCCTTTTCAGATAGAGCCCCCTCCTCAAATATGGGGTCTATCGTAAAATCATTAGCTGGTGCAGTGTAGGTCGGCCACATCTCTAATCCTACCAAATTCCATGTTGGTGCAGCTGCTTCCGTGCTACGGTTTACCAAAACTCTCTGAAAATTATATTATAATAAATGAATAAAAGTAACATCGTAGTTATTTGGTTTGCTTATAGTATTATTATACCCATGTTTAACAAAGTTATTTGCAAAGTTTGCATAAGTACACRAGTACTATCTGAGGTCAGAAGTTTCTGCAGCTGTTATTTTGTGGGACAGAAGCTGAAGTAGTGGCTCTGAACAGAGGGTTAAAGGAAAAGTTTGAACAACTACAGTATGAATCATAACCAAACTGTCAATGTAAGAGCTACTTCAAGCTAGATCAAAGTATATTATTATTAATAATTACTATTATATGAGGCATTATTTCTATTTTTTACCCTTTGGTATGCTCTCTGAGACACAGTTCAGTTCAGACCTTTATTGTCCCTTGGGGGGAAATTTGGTTTAATGCAGTTGTTAAAATGACACAAGATGTTGCAAATAATCCCATCAAGTCCAGCCACAAACACTTAACACACTTAAAACTACATAAACATTTAGTAGTAATAAAATAGACATGATATTGGCAACTGAAAATGCCAGAGAGGGTATAGTAGGTGAAGTGCATTTATCGCACTTGGAACAAATAAAAATTTATACCTATTGCCCTTTGCCCATTCTTTCCTTAAAATAGGGTCAATAATTGACATTGCCTTCCTTGTTTGCTCCAGGTGTCTGACAAACCAGGACAGAGAATTTTTGTTGTGCACTGCGAGGTTACTATACCAAGAGGAAAAGCAAAAATAAAATTAATTTATGCATTGTAAAAAGATGCTATCAGTGTTTTGTCTACATTAGAAGCTCTGAGTCTGCAGAAAACTGCAGATACTATATCTGTGGTAACAGTGATGTGTGCTTAGGGCTCAGGTGGAGAGTGAACAGGTCCGGTGTAGCAGGTAGGTTCAGCTGGCATAACACCCACAACTCCTCCTTTTACCCCTCCCCCGTCCCCCCAAGTGGGCACCAGCCGGAAAACTGAGGTCATTTCCAGGTCGCTTCTCCCCCTGTAGTCGTGTGCAGCTGAGCTGTGTTCTGTGAACGTGTGATGTGCGGTCGGTGGGCAGCCATCAGGTTTTATCTCATCACTTTCCCATCTACTCCTTATTTCCTTCACTACTTCCTCCAGCATCTACTTTAATGTAGTCAGCGGTCTGTCTGCGATATTATTGGGAATTCCCTTGAATCGTTTTAGAAGGGGGGACTACCTACCAAGCACACACACACACACACACACACACACACACACACACACACACATACACACACACACACACATAAAATACAGTTCTCTGCTCACCACAGGGAATGGAAACTGTAATATGAACTCACCCTTGGTCTGAATGAAAGCCCATTACAATTTATTTTTACCACAGCAGCCAGTGTATTGGCTTTTTTTTCTGCGGGAGGTTTTTGCTTTTCTGCCACATTTACCACTGTCACTAAAACCATAACGATATTTCCTCAAAGATGCAGCGGGTCATAGAAAAGTCAACTCTTTTTTRCTGCTCATTTAAAGCAAACCGTTCATTTTGTTCTATATTCGATGTTCATGAAAGCGTCAGAAATCTGTTTCACGTTTTCTAATAACATTTGCAGTTTTGCAGCTTCATTATGACATAATGTGCTCTGGGAAAATTATGTGCTTGCTTGAGCTTACATTTAAATTTGCCACCTGCTGCTTGTCAGCTCTCATCAAATGCTTGGATGATTCTCGTAAATACTCACTGTAAGGCTCCTCTTCTGTTCCAGGATCTGTCGGGCTCAATTGATGACCTCCCCACTGGGACCGAGGCCGGTCTGGGCCCAGCCGCCGGCGCTGCCGGATCCTCCAACAGCAGCAGCAACAGCAGCAGTAGCCAAGGGGAGCAGGGAGGCACTGGTAACCAGGGACAGTCCCCCTTTTCCCCTCACGCCTCCCCTCACCTCCCCAGCCAGAGGAGCGGGCCCTCTCCCTCCCCTGTGGTCTCCCCAGCGGGCTCCACTCAGTCCCAGCAGTCCCGATCGGGCTCCGGGCCCATTTCTCCTGCTAACAGCACRGCACCAGGTGAGGTACCTGTTYGTGTTTATWAAGGCCRGGCATGCATATCACCCGCTGCTTTGCAAAACAAATATTTGAACTGTGATCATCTCSTGTTGAGAAATGACAGAGCTGTAACAACATTATGAATGATCTCATCAGATATTGCAATATTATGATTTGTTAATGCTTGTGTTGAGGATGATGGTCAGCTACAACAACTAGGGCTGSGTGTTGTGGCCAATTCCGTAAATCGATTTGATTTTGATTCATAAGGTTCTGAATCAATTAATCGTGATTTGATTTGCTTTTAAGCAGAGGTCTATAAAGTACTTGAAAAAAATAACTAAGTAAAAGTAAAATTACATGAACAGAAAATGACTTTGGTATGAATTTCACTGATGAGAAAACTACTGAAGGAAAAGTCATAAAACTAATCARAAAAATTGGGAAAGTAAAAGWAATTTTGCACACTCTCTAAGAATTAAACTGTTAAATTTACTGAACCAACCTGGTTCCACTAAGCCAGGTTGAGTAAATTGAGTGATACATGTGTATTCTTTGCTCAGTTTACTCAACTAGGCTTAGTGGAGCCAGTTGACATGACTTTGTTGAGTAAATTCAACACTTCATTTTTTTGGAGTGCAGAAACATCTTTTTTGATGAGCTCCAACATATTTAATTTTGTAACGAGTAACAAGGTGTTACATTTTAAAGTAAAGAAGTAAAAATATCATTTTTAGCTTTAAAATGTAATGAAATAAAAGTCAAAGTAGCTATTTAAAAAATAATTGGTAAAATTACAGATCCTCAAAAAAACTACTTAAGTACTGTAACGAAGTAAATGTACATAGTTACTGTAAATCTCTGCTTTTAAATAATGAAAATGGTTCAATCGTGTTGCAGAATACAATTTTACTAATTTAAACAGCAGCTTTTTAAGGGCTGGTTTGTAAATTGGACAGTTTTATCTTGTACTGCAAAAAATCTTTTTGAAGTTTCAAAGGTTTTAAATTAAAAAGGCAAGTGAAAGTGTTGTTGGATACAATAATTTGTAAGAAATTAAGAATAATTTTCTTGATGAATAATAAGTGATGGAATGAAGTTGAAACAGTGGGCTAATATAAGTGTATACTTCTGCCCTTAGAACATATGAGTATTGTATATTTGTAATGTTCCTCTTACCTTCTGATGTTATGTTTAATTAGAGTGTATTCACACCTGACACATTTGATCTGCTTTAAACGGACCAGAGTTTATTCCCTCGTTGGTCCAGACCTTTTATGCAGGTGTGAATACACTTATACGAACCTTGGTGTGGATCAAACAACCAGACCGAGACCCATTTTTGAGGTGGTCTCAGTCCGCTTCCAAACAAACTCTGGTGTGGTTCACTTCTGGTGTGAATACAGACCGGCCTCAAACAGAACCAACTACAGGAAATGTGCATTTTTGGACTTCACAGGCCACCGTATCTAAGCAACATTAGCCCTTCAGTGCTGCTAACGCTAGCATTATGCTACAAACAATGAGCCGCTGTGGGTCAGGGAACGTGGAGCATCTTGTCTATTTTAGGTTGAGCCAAGCATTTCACAACACTGTCCCAAAATTATAAGTYTATCATCGTGAAACCGCCACTGAATGAGCTGCTCTTSATATTCTTAARAGTCAGTTTTATTAACAGCACCATCTTTTTTCTGGGTGTGTACTCTGTCCTGCCCCTGTCATTTCTGTCTAATGAGAGCAATGACCATCACCGGCATGGCTTTGTGCAATGTGAATGCAAACCACACCAACGGAAAATAATTAAGTCCACTATTTGGTCCGGACCAAAGAAGTGGACCAAAGAAGTGGACCAAAGAACTTTACTGGTGGACATTTCTTAAGGTTTAAAAATAATAATAGTGGTAACAAAACTAACTTGTCTTTCACACCTTTATCCATCCAGAGGAGAACGTTTATGGATGTTTACATGCCGTAGTTTGGTTCGAGCACCTCAACAAGCCCCTTGAAGTCTTTGTTTTCCACTACTGTGTGTGAGTTTAAATCTTTGCAAACAAAAGTTGCCATGACCTCTGTTATCTATAAGCCCCATGGAGAATCAGCTGGTAATGTTGGTGATTCCTTAGTTTCTTTTGTTTTTGCCCAGACAACTTGACGGAAGCTAACGTTACCACTGAACGTCAACCGAATGTTAGCATACGGCAAGCCGGGAGTGACACAAAAACGCYCCTCTGCTTTATCAAACACAATTTCAATTCACTAAGGCCTTGTTCACACAGCAAGATTTAAAAATTGTCAGCTGATTTTACAAGACTGAGAGACTCCACACGTGAAAATAAAAAATCATGGATTTAACAGGTCTAGTCCAACATGTTGAGTATTCTCGATTTGTGATTGGAGCATTCCCAACATCCTTTTGAGCTGACTAGATCACTCTTTACATACACGGCAGGAATATCTCCTAAGKTTAATTTAAGAGTCGTCACAATAATCGAGGCGTCCTTGAGATTGTCAAAAGGGCAAAATCAGATCAGAAATCGACACAATCACCTCACTGTGTGAACCTAGCATYAGTTGTAACCATTTTTCTGTTTTCTAAAGATGTTGGCTGCAGCAGCTCGGCAGTCAGTGCTGCTGTCTCGTAATCCTGAGGCTGCAGTTCGAGCCCAGARGGTGTCAGGAAGGACATCCAAGGATTACTTTTGAAACATTTCATTAATATTTGCTGAGTGGATCAAGAGATATTTTGCTAACAACAAAAACATCACTCTGCCTTCATTCATGAGTGATGATTAGTTTAAAACCATCCGCACCAAAACTCTACAACCGAACACCAGGTTGTGTCTCATTCTGTTGGAGTCCCTGCTAAAGGAAAGTGTCTTTGCTGGTTTAACACTAATTTCTTGCTGCCGAACTGGAAGCTGTTGTCAGAAAGAGAATTAAAAATACAGTGAAAACATGTTTGCTTTTTTTAATTTGTGCACTTAAAACAGACTTATGCTGCAAAATGACCCTGATGAGAAAATCCACTGAAAAAAACYGATAGCAGAGCGAGGTCTAAATGAAGTGTGTTTGGCTTTTCAGGAGTCAATAGAATGAATAAAGCGCAATATAACTATAAAATCTCATTTAAAAAGTTTCCTTGCCATTGTATACGAATACAATGAAATTATAAGTGGCTCTTGAAAGATGCGTTTGGTATAAAAACAGAAAAGCACAAGTCATTAGGATTGAAATGGTAAATAAAAATAGAAATATGTTTCTAATGATGTGCTAATGGCTGCAGTAAAGCAGCACTAAACAAGTCATAGATCAGGAATTAGAAAACGATACCAGATTATTGAACAAACTTTGCTTCTATTGGTCTCTTAATTAGCACAATTATCATTTATTCATGACATTAATGCAACATTTTTATTTAATAGTGTATCGTTTTTCTTCTCAGCGTCTTCCAGTCGCTGAATAATCCATCTAGATTAATATCCATTCAGACGGTTGGCACAAACGATGAGAACGCGCTGCAACCAAACGATATCCATCCTGCATATCTAGACTTTGATATCTCTGGTCCATTTAAAATTTTAATTTCAGACAGCGGAAGAATTTGGCTTGCGTGACGCCGAACCCTTTCAGGAACATATTTTATTTCATTTCCCTCACCCAGTTTTTTGTAGCCGCGTTGTAGAGATTTAAGTCTTTGATCGCAGAATTGTAAAAAAAAAAAAAACCTCTCCTTGCATTGCGGGAGGATTGTGATACTCTTCTGACTACCTGTAGATCACATCAACATTTGTGTCTGAATACCATTTTCTCTCCACTCTGAGTGGATTTCTAGCCTTATCTAAATTATGTCGGGGAAAAAAAACAGAAAGTAACAGGACTATCAGACAATACAGAGTATCTGTGTGTCCCCTGAGGCTACAGCAGAGCATTTAGATAAACACTGAGCATTATAAATAAATGAGGGTTTGATTTGCCTGCAACATTCTTGTAAACATGTGTGTGTGTGGGAGAGAGAGGATGTGTCGTGTGTGTGTGTGTGTGTGTGTGTGTGGCCTCCGTGACATCCTGCCAGCACTCTTCCTGAGTGAGTGGCTGACCGGCCCATCAGCATGTCTCAGACCTGCCAGTCACTCCGACAAGGAGGGGCAAAGTGTCTGGAGTGAGATCCAACACCTCCTCCTCCTCCTCTCCCTCTTCTCTCCTCAGCCGCTTACCGGTGTGATTGACGCTAATGAAAAACTGGGACAGTGTTGTTTTTTTTCCGGCACCCTTGCCAAGAATCATGACAAGAATCCCGAATGAGGCGGCAAAGATTGGGAGCGAAACCGATCGCCGGGACACGATTAATAAGAAAATATTTAAAATTATTCCCCTCCCCCCACCCTCCCATGCCAAATAAACGGTGATAAAGCATGGAGCTGTGAGTAACATCTGGCATGTTTTAGTGGCTGTACTACAATCAGTTTGAATTAGATCAAGAAGCCAGTGTTGGAGAGACACGGGAGAACTAATGTGGTTAGCATCCATCTGATTACTAACTCCCCGCTTTGCAGCTTTCACAACAAGTTAACTTGGGCACAAGTCGGTGAGGAGGTTTTTTTTTTTTTTTAGGTTAATTCTATTAAAGCAGCTTGTGTCCCGTGAGCACAAAACAGACAAATAAAACCCTGATCATTTGAACGAAGACCTCGTCCTCTCCAGTTCAGAAAAAACATCAAAACTCATCTTGTCGCTCTTTTCGCTGGGACGTTTGAAATCACAAATGATTCTTGCTCCACAATCACGATCCAAATCGGTTGCTTTTATTGGCACTTTAAGTATTTAGCTTTGTCTATTTACTGACCTTTATTACAACTGTACAGTGTTTGGGAAGTGTTGACATAAACACAAYGACAGTCTAGTCCAGACAAATTTATTTATGAAGCACATTTAAATAAACAGCAGTTTGTTACCAAAGTGCTGAACAATAGAAAAATAAAGAAAAATACAAAAAAAATATTTTAAAAGCATCAGAAGACAAT